TCCCCCCCCCCCCCACAATGTAGGAGCAGGTTTGCAGCCCCGGTGCAAAGGGAAACTCCGTGGGAAAGTGGTTTTCTGCTGTTCCCCCTCCACCTTGTACGCTGGAGAAAAATCTTGGCCCTGGCAGCAGCCATAAATTGTACTTACTTTACAATTATGACCATGCAAAAGCATTATTGATTTCTCATAAAACCGCTAAGGAGTCCCCGACCAGAGGAGCCCAGGGGGATTTGCCTTCAGGATTTCTCTTGCCTGTGTGTTCTGCTTGGGCATGGCAGCAGCTCTCCCACGGGCTGAGGCAGCACTGGCTGCACCAGGGGGGCCCGCACAGGCACACAGAGCAGCACCCTTCCCTCCACACCCAGCAGCTGGTCCTTCTCCTCCTCCATCCATATTTTTGCCCTGATTCTTTGCCACATCAATTTGGGGTTGGTTTTTTTGTTTTTTGTTTTTTGTTTTTTTTTTTTGGAGAGACACGGATCTTGCTGCTCTGGCTGGCAAAGATGAGCCTGATATGCTCCACCAGAGCTGCTCATTCCCATGCTTTACAGCCCAGACCCTCTTCAGCTGGGTGACATCCCACCTGGAGCAGGTACTGCTCTAATGTCCCCCCAGCCATGGCTGAGCCCTCCCTGTCTGGTCACATCTCCGTCAGACCAAGCCGAGCGGGAGCTCAGCCCCTGCCCCTGCCCCTCACCCTCCCTGCTAAGCATCAGGCCCTGTGGCATAATGGAGAACCCCAGGACCCTTGGCAGAGGCCGACGAGTAGGTTGGGGACAGGAGAAAAAAACCCAAAGCCAGAACCCAGGAGCCCACCAGAAGCTGAAGGGAGCTGAAGACCAGACCCGCACCCCCACAGGAAAAGCACTGCTTTGCCCGACCTCCACATCGGTCCCTCACCCAGCGGCCGTGGGACTCGCAAGGGCACGCGTGCATCTCCGCCTTCGTGCTTACACTGCACTTCCCAAACCTCTACCCAGCTTTGGGAGGCTTGAACATCCTCCCCCAGGAGACGCCAGCAGTGGTCACATCTCAAAAAAAAAATCGTCTCCCAGTGCCGAGACCGCTTGTGCCTGCTGGTGATGGTGAGCCTTGCCCAGCGAGCAACTGGGGCACCACTCAGTCCCCAAACACACACTGTTTCCAGACACCCCTCCTTCCCCCACCCGCCCCGAGGGAAGAGGTTTGGCTAATCCACCTCCGCTGGCTCAAATACAGAGCCTGGGGGGGCTGTGGCTGCCGCGCTCCAGACCCCTGCATTCTGCAGTGCCTCCTGCATGGCACTCGACAGCCGGGGACCGTGCCCTGGGGAGCCAGGCTCCTGGAAGGACAGGACAGTTCTCCCAGATTTTGCTGTCCTCCATTCACAGAGCAGCTCTTTTGCTGGCGAGGGATTATTCCTGCTAATAAATCACGCGTGGTAACCCGCCAGCAGCTTACACAGCCAATAATTAATTACTGCTCGGATGAACTGCACAAGCCACAGGATCAGGGCAGGCACTTGGGACTGGGCTAGCTCGCTCCTTGTCCTCCAGACCCCAGCCATGTCGGCCTCCAGACCCCAGGTGGGACCGAGCCCTGAAGGCTGTGATCCAGAGCAGCAGCGGCCAGGAGCTGGTTGCCATTTGCCCAGCACACCCCTCCAGGGATAAGACGCTGCCTGACCCACCGGCACAAAGCATCTGAGCTCGCCGGGAGCACCTCCATCCCTGGCAGTGGCTCTCAAACCCCCTCAGACAGGGGGAAACTCACACAGCCAACAAAATCGCTCAGTGGAAAGAAAAACCCCAGACTGCTTGAGAGCCAGCACTGGGGGAGCTTGGCTTCTCTGCTGTCTGGTAAGGACCACACCGCTTTCCCCTCAGCAGCATCTCTGCCCCCCAACATGGCATCTTCCCATCTTTGAGATGGGGATGCTGCTTGACACCCCAGCTGCGCCAGGGAGGCAGCGAGGACAGGGCATGGCCACTGGGGACCTGCACTGGCCCCTCACGTCTCACAGTGACACCACCAGTCCCCAGAAGAGCTCCAGTCTCTGCAGAAATCCCCGGCGAGGCTCTCCCCAGCATCACAGGGCTTTCCCTGAGACCTGAGCTGCCCTGCTCGCAGGGATCCGTGCCAGCTGGGAAAAAAAACCCATCCCCTCAGTTTAGGAGCAGTGTCTGAATTTCCCCAAGAGACAGCAGGAAAGCAACAGAAAATGCAAAGCTGTTTGTTACCCACCCAGCAAATGCAATTCCTGCTTATCCATCTATCACCAAGCAGAGAATTTAAAGACTCAGCTTGCAGCAGTGGCAGCTACTGCCCTTCAGCTTTAAAATTCACAGCCCTGGCTCCCTGCCACCGCCCCGGGAGCTGCCCCGGCACCAAGCCACGGGCCAGGAGTATTTGAGCTTGGGCAGAAAAGGGAGATGAAAAGGACTCTCCTGCTGCTAATCCAAGTAGGCATGACAAGAGCAAGGGAGGGGGAAAGGGTGCAAAGGGAAAAGAGCAGAAAGGGGCTTGGGGAGGGAAGAGAAAGCCCCACGGCAATGGGTTTAATTGCAGGTGCCAGAAGCTCAGCTTTGCCCCAGGCGTTGAGCCCTGGGGCTTTGCTGGTGTCCCCCCACCATGGACTGGGGGACATTCTCCTCATCCACCTCTCCAGGAGGGACTGGTGCCACGGAACGGGGCCTGCCTGCCTGAAACTGGAGGATGGCAAGCCAAGATGCAAGGAGCTCTGAGAGATTAAGGGGAAAAAAAGAAGAAAAAAACCCCAAAAAGCACTTCAAAAAAGATAAAGCCCCAAACAAAAAGCGTCGCCACCCAGGCACCGCAGCCAGGCTCAGACTCAGGCTCAGGCTCGGAGACACGCACACAGAAGCATCACAGCATCTTCCTTTCATCTGCACAGGGATGACAGACTTTAAAAGGCCAATTTATAAAAATGAAGCCTAGAGGAGAGACATCTGCCAGGTCTGAGGAGGCGGTGGTGGGAGATTACTAACCCTGTGTCGTGTCTCCAGCCCCCCCTACTCGGAGCAGGTCCATGAGCCCCCCGGCCAGGGCCCAAAGGCAGAGGCTGGGAGCAGGCAGAGTGGCTGGGGGCAGCCCCCCGGGACCGTGGAGCCATCACCACCCCGGCACCCAGCCTGGCACGTACACGTTCACCTGATTTCAGAGAGAAGCAGGCTCCCAGTGATCTGTGTAGATTTACCTTTAATCTCGGTGCCTCTGCTCCCCTCCATATCAACAGCACTGCCCCACTTCTTGAAATAACTTATCATGCCACAGACAGCATCCCCGGGCAGAGCGGTGGATGCAAAGACGAAAATAAGCTCAAGATGAAAATAAGCAGCAAATCTGCGATGGCTTTTTGGAAAGCGAGGGCCATCCGCTTCCAGCCCAGCTTACCAAGAGTTGCAGCATGCTCCCAGGCACCTTTCGAAGGAGCCACATCCCTTTGGATGTACTATCTACCAGCTCCAGAACTGGCTCAGGGGCCAGAGCCTTGAGTCCTTGGCCCAGGTTACACAAGAGAACAGACTTAAATATTCATATATTTATATGAATATATAAACCGAGGAGGTTTGTTGTTGAAGGGAAGCCACAGAGCGGCAGTCAAGACATCAGGCTGGTGATGGGTGCTTAACCCACCTGCACAAGTCCCCAGATGCCTCCCAGGGCAGAGCTGTGCCCTGCTGCTGCTGTCACTGGAGAAAGCAAGTCAAGGTTTAGAATGGAAGGAAAAAAATACAGGATTTCTGGGGACTGGCCAAGTGGAAACCCAGGTTGCAATCGCAGGCGAGAGCCAGCCACTGGCAGCGATGTTAATGACAATCTCTCCCGATAAGCTGTGCTGATGTGTGTCAGCACACACATGTAGAAAGATCTGAAAGTTGAAGTAAGCTACTGACCTCAAGAAGAAATGAAATTTAAACTGTCAGCAGAAGTGCAAGAGACCATGAAAAAAGAAAAAAAAAAAGTCTCCAGTGAAGCAGGAGTCAGGGAGCAACAACAAAGCCACCGGGATTTGCTGAACCAGAGATGTGGGGAGGAACCAGCGTCTAATGAGGTGTTAATAACCTGAACGCACAACAGCGGTCATGGGGTAGCCAGAACAGCCATCCCAGCACTCCTTCTGAGGGCTTTATTTAAGGAAACAACCCTAATAAAGAGATGTTTCCCTTCCACCTGGCCCAGGCATCTGAAATTCAATGGAAAAAAATACTGTCTGGTGGAGGGTGCGAGAGGCAAGGCTGTATCCTTCCATCTGTGCCTGCACGGGAGAGCCCCCAGGGCCAAGTGTGCACCCCTCCGGGAGCAGGGCAAGGCAGGAGAGGAAGGGTGAGTCCACACAAAGGTGCGCAGTGAAGCCCTGTCCCATGGGGAAGAAGCTCCCCAGCTCGGTCCCAGCTGCTCCAGGCCAGCAAGCTGCTCCGTTTCCAGCAAGATCGATGCCACTCAAAGCCCCGGCTGGCGATCCCACGGGAACGGTGCGAGGAAACCCAGGGCACCTGCTCCGCCAGAAAAGGGCCTGATCTCGGCGTGCTGGGCCAGGGGAGATCCCCGAGTCACGAGCAGGTCCGAGAGCAAGGTGACACCTCCCCAGCCCCCCAGCAGCAGGCTGCGAGGGGATGCTCCTGGCAGGCAGGCAGCCCCTCTGGCAGCTCGCAAGGGAGCCTGGCGCCTGCCCGCAGGGCCCCGAGGCACTGCCTGCCCCGGGCAGATGGGGAAACCAGCTAAAACCAGGATGGAGACTGCCCGTGGGAACGCCACAGCAGGGCAAGTGGCACATGGGGCTCGGAGCTGATGGCAGAAGGGAAGCAAGCACATCATCTTTGCTCTTGCTGTGCAAGCCCAAAGGGATGGGGGATGCACTGGCCATGAAGCGGACAT